CATTTGTACTTATATTAAAAAAAAAATCTGAGAAAAAGGCTCATAAGAGGCATACTGGTATAGTGATAGGAACACTAGACATCATCTTTAGTTTCAGTCTCAAAGTAGGTTATCTTTTTCTGAGTCTCAATTTCCCCATCTTTAAAATGGGGGTAATTTTTTTTTAAAAAAATTAATTTATACTGAACCTCCTTCTAAAACAATCTGTAGTCAGTCTCTTGGGAAGTTTTAAAAATAAAAAATAATAATAATAATGTGAGAGTACTCTTTTTTTAATTAATTTTTTTAATGAAAGAAATGATTTAATTTTTTTTCCCTCCGTCTATCTCCCCCATCCCCCCTACTCTTTGGTAACCACTAGTCCATTGTCCATGTCCATGAGTTTGTTTGTTTGTCCTGTTCATTTGTTGCTTTTAGGTTTATATCCCATATATAAGTGATATCATGTGATTTTCAACTTTTTCTGTCTGGCTTATTTCGCTTAGTATGATTATTTCAAGGTCCATCCATGTTGTTGCAAATGGCAGTATTTGGTACGCGGGAGTGTTAGCATCACCAGCAACAACAGTAATATACGCCACCTAGTAGTGAAAAAGAGTACTGCATCCAGAATCAATTCAAATGCTGTACCTACTATATTTGGTGAGCATCACAATTCAGAGCCTTACAAGATTACTGAACATTTGAGGAAAGCCTCTAACATAAAAGACAAACAAACAAAAAAGTATCCTAGAGAAAATAGTGTAGAGGTAGAAAAAATTAAAGATTATCCTTAAGTATTCAGGAATGAGAAGATGTATCTATGACAGATTTCTATATAAAAGAAAATTCAGGGAACAAAATTGAGCTCTGAGCAGTGGTGAGCTAGATCTGGCTCGTAAGGGCTCACAGGAGCCAACTGTTAAGTTTTCAGGAATTCTGCAAGCCAGTTAAGCACAGGCATTATTACAAATTAAATTATTTAAACTCAAAGGTAAGTAAATTATATTCAAGATAAATGTAACATACTCAAAACTATCATTTCCTAATTATTTCACACCATTTTACCATTTTCCACAGTCTTGAAGTCATTTACATTCATTGTTTCTGTGCAGGGGTAATACTGCAGAATGGTCTGCTACCAAGTATCTCTTCCCAGCTCCACACTGTGATGCCCTGTTGATAGCGTGAAATAAGCCATAGTGGGCATTTTTATACCACAGAAGTAGGTGAAGACTTCAAATCAGATTTGTCTCCTTCCTCCCAGAGAGTTAAACATTTACCAACATACCAACATACATTTAACAACAACATACATACATATATACATGTATACATATATACACAAATATATATATACATTTACGAACATGCCACTGGTTCTGGGAAATTAAAAATATGAAAGTAGAATTGAAAAATTTAGTAAGATTGGAAGATAAAGTTGGAATCTCACAGAAAGTAGGGAGGAAAGAGATGGATAATAGTTGGTAAAAGTTGAAAAAAATTAGAAGATCTGTCCAGCAAGTCTAATGTGCAAATAATGAGTTCCAGAAAGAGAACACAGAAAATAGTGTGGAAGAAATATTAAAGGAGTAAAATTTCCCAGAATTGCAAAACGATTTTGAGACTGAACTAGCTCAAGTACCTTGCAGAACAAACGAAAACAGATAAAACGAAGGCATTATTGCAACTGTCAAAAAACCAAACAATAGACAATCCTAAAAGCATCAAATAAAAAAAAGAAACAAAAACAGGTTACAAAAGAGTAGGAATCAGAATGACATCTGACTTCTCAATAGCAGTTTGTTATGTTTTTAAGCCAGAAACAGTAAGCAGTGATAACAATTTTTAGGAAAAATCTTTTCTAATTTAGAATCTATTCCCAGTCAAATTTTCTATCAATCAATAGAGTTAAACAAAGCATTTTTCCAAGATTTCAAAATTCTTTTTCATCCTTTATGTGCATTCATTTAACTGATACTTGAGAACCTTCTATGTGCCAGACATTATTCTAAACACTGGGGATATAACAAACTGGATATAACCAGTTTGTTAACAAGGTCCCTGGCTCTGAGGCTTACTTATAACCTGAAAATATCAACATAACATGTCGGGTAGTACTCAGTACTCTGAAGAACAGCAAGGTTGAAGGGATGAAGTTCTGGGTGGGAAGGTGCTGTTTTAGACAGGGCCTCTGATGAGGTTACAGCTGCAAAGACCTAAATGAAGGAGCAATCCATGCAGATATTTGGGGGAAGAGCCTCCCTGGCAGAGTAATAAGGGTAATGGCCCTGGAAAGTGTGTTTGTGAAGCCAGGCGCACGTGACTGGCAAGGGTGGTAGATGATTGCAGAGATGGCTGGAGGGAGCCAGATCACAAGGGCCCTTTGTGTTGATATTTTCCGTTTGTTCCTCCAGACCTACTCTCCACCCTGCACTGCTGCCTGGGAAGCTGATGTTACCGATCACATGACACCTTTTAAAGAGTTCCTTTTGAAGACAGTCCCCAAATTCTTCCATTTACATGTGAAATCCATGTTTCCGGCCTAGATCCTGACTGATACTCCCTAGTAGGGCAAAATAAGGATTTTAGATTTCATTCTGAAGGAGATGGAAAACCACTGGAGTTTTGGGAGCATATGGGACACCATGTAACTTACATTTTAAAAGATGCTGGATGTAGAAAAGACCTTGGTGGGTGTCACAGGTGGGAAAAAAGAGGCTTTTACAGTAGTAGTGAAAAAAGGTGACTCGGAACAAGGGTGTAGTAGAGGTGATAAGTGGTCAAATTTGGGATATATTGTTAAGATAGAGCCAAGATATGGTGATCAAGAGGACAGATATATAGTGTAAGAGAACAAAAGGCAAGAATGACTCAGGTTTTTGGTCTGAGTAGGAATCAAGTTGCTTTACTGAGATGGAGATGTCTGGGGAGAAAGCAGGTCTGGGCTGCAAAAATCAAGAGTTCAGTTTGGGATAAACTCAAGTTTATTACAGATCCAAGTAGGGCAGAATAGGTAGATGCATATCTAATGCTGGAGTTCAGGGAAAGTTTGTGTTGGAGGTATGAATTTTAGTGTAGTAGCCTTTTAAGGTAGCATTTAAAGCCACAGACTAGATAAAATTACTTAGGAGTTGGTATAAATAGAGAAGAAAAGAGGTTCACGGATTGAGCCCTTTTTTCAGGAACTACTAGACAATGTTTCACCAAAAGGAAGGAGTAAACCAGGAAAGAAGAAGAAGACATAAGATGCAGAAATAAGGAATGTGAAGCTGGAGGCAGAAAGAATCCCCACACTGATGGCGAGGAGATCCCGGAACTAAAGGTCTCAAGAGTAACGTCTACACTGAAGACAGAGGATGAGGGTCCTGGAAGGGATATCACCAAGGAAAAAAAAAGTAAACTTGACTGAAGATATTGAGATTTAAACTATGGTTCAAAGTTTGGGGCTGAATTAGAGACAGAAACACAGAACACTAAGCAGATGGAAGAACAGGGTTAATTACTAAAGTATTTTATGTAAATACATATTTATAGAAATTAGGTATAGAATCACATTAATATATAATCACAGAAATGTAAACATAAAATATTGATTTAACCATAAACTATTATATAACTATGAGGATTCCAAGTGCAGAGATATAAATTAAAAGCCAAGAAATCATAGTATATTTAGAGCAATTCCACTTCTAAGTATATATCCAATAGAATCTCAAACAGGGACTCACAAGTACGTGTACATGAAAGTTCACAGCAACACTATTCAAAATAGCCAAAATGTGGAACCACCCAAATATCCATCAACTGATGAATACATAAACAAATTATGGCATATACATATGTGGAATACTATTATCATAAAAGTGAAGTACTAATACATGCTACAATGTGAATGAACCCCAAAAACATCATGCTAAGTGAAAGCCAGACATAAAAGGTCATATATGACTCCACTTATATGAAATATCCAGAATAGGAAAAGAAAGCAGATGAGTAGTTTGCCACAGGCTGTGGGAATCGGAGAATGAGGAGTAACTGTGAGTATAGGGTTTTATTTTGGGGTGATAAAGATGTTTTGGAACTAAATGGGGGTGCTGTTTGCACGGTATTAGGAATTTGCTTAATGCCATTGAATTATTCACTTTGAAGTAATTTTATGTGAATTTTACCTTAGTTTTTTAAAAAAAGAATGTTATTTAGAAATGAGGTGTGTTATATGTCAGAGAAACAGCTGAGGTGACATTGGTCATCCTAGACTATAGGCTGCAAAAGGCAAAGGACAGTTCTTAGTTAAGTCTTGTAAAATGATACATTTAAATCCATATATAAGCATAATTTCAATTAAAAGATAGTTAAGATAAACACCTGTCACTTGAAGGAAAGGTGATATTTAAAGGAAGAGAATAGTTGAAGGAAAACCTTCAAATACGAGGTGCTCACATCTGGATAGATTTGGACAAATAAGATCTATATGCTGATTCCAGCTGTGTCAAATATACAAAGAAAAAGCATATGGAAACTTTTGTTTAAAAAGGAAGAATAAATATCTGAGTCTGGAAGACAGATGAAGACCATACTATATTAAACAGAAAGGAGAAACATAAAAAATATATTTAATTAGGCTGATTCATTAAAAAAATAAAAAGATCATTAAAGAAAATCATTAGGGACAGTATCATTAACTTAGTCTTAAACTTCAACAGCAAAAATACCATAAACAAGATCAAAATTTGGGGAAAATATCTGTAGCACACGATAAAGGGTTAAGAATAACAATATTCCAAAAAAGAAATTGCAATAGGGCACTAGTAGCCAATTCAACAAAAACATGATACTCATCAGTAACCAAAGTAAAACAGAATAAAGAGGATCATTGTCTCTTAATATTTAAACAATTAAAAAGGATTTATTTTGAAAGGATGTGAAGAATTGACATTCTCATGCGTTTTTAGAACTTATCAGTACACTTTTGAAAGGCAGTTTTGCAAAATATACAAAAAATATATGCTAAAGATCCCTTTTTTTTTTAACGCTTCACAAATTTGGTGTCATCCTTGTGCAGGGGCCTTGCTAATCTTCTCTGTATTGTTCCGACTTAGTATATGTGCTGCCAAAGCAAGCACCAAAGATCTAGGAATTTATTTCTAGGAATTTATCTTGGGATAACTAGAAGGCAAATTAGAACACATAACATACATTGAATAAGTATCCACAAGTTAAAAAGATTATAGAATGATACATGTAGCATGATGCCCATGTGCAAGTGTGTGATTAGCAGGTCATGAAGGAATGTTCAGTAAAGAAACTGTTGTCTCTGAATGATTTACCTACTACCATGTATGAAGTACCCATGTAATCCTCACAATTTAGAGACTGAGAATCTAAACCGGCTAAATCACACAGCCTGTAAGTGGAAGGGCTGTTTCTGAAATCCAAGTTTGGCCCCTCTGCCCACACTCAAGTTTTCATATTTTCTTACATTATTATCAAGTATGTTATTTTTTTGAGGCAGTGAAACATATACGGTCTAACAATATTTGCAGTAGTTCTGTTGACTTGATGGCAAGAATTATAATTATGTAACTACTCCTTATAATTTAAAACCTGGAGATGATTTGACACATCAGATGCTCCACCTACAGCTGACTAGTTTTTTGTCCAGAACCATCAATATCCAATATTGGCCTAGCTACATAGGGTTTGCAAAGAATTATGCTGTGCGTTACCTTGTTTTACTTGTTCATCACTTTTGAAGATGTTTGCCTTATCAGTTCATTTCTTGGTTTATAATGGTTAGCCACTTCAAGATATGAACAGAAAAGCAGAAAGGATTAAAAACTTACATCTAACACTAGGTAAAAAATGGATAAAATACTGAGACTGTTTTCGCACCTGTCTCCCATATTTGTGAGCCCACTAGGGGGTCTGGATCAGTCTGCATACCCAGCATAGAACACATACTGCTGGGTAGGGGAATACATGGTCTTGAAGAACAAGGTAACTTGGGTGTCTACCTCCTGACCCCAGCACTCAACAGGTTACAGGTTATCAATGCCAGTTACAACACTGGTCTCTTGAATACAAAGACTTTGCCTAGTAGTGTGATTTCAAACACAACTTTGATTACTACTTAGTGTAAAGCTTAAGTAAAAAGCTTAATATTAAATATAAACTTAGAAAACAGGTGGTTCATACAAATGGCCTGCTTAAACTTTTTCTGCATCCCAAAGAAGTATGGCTTTGTAAAGCAGCCAGACATGCAGTTTGCCATTTGCTGGTCTTGCAACCTTGAACAACTCACTTCAGTAGTTTAGAATTGCCTCTTTCAAACAGGGATACCCAGTATCATGACATTTATCTTAACCCATCCAAAAGTTGCAAGGCTCAGAGACCTGAGTTCACCTCACAGTTCTTCCCATTTCCTCTACTCCATATGGAACTGTGCTTGTACTGTTTACTGAATCATCATACCCATCTTCCTCATCTTAAAGCCTCACTACCAAGTCAGGAAGGACTTCCTCTGGAGGTCCCTCCATACTAAAGATGTACCTTCTTCAGACACTTTCATGTATATTTCTGATACTACACCGTGGATAACATCACAGTACTACTTAAGTATTTAACATCAAACGTGTCAAGAAACATTTTTGCCATGACATCAAAATAAGTCACTACTACTTCCTAGTTTCTTCCAGCCCTGCCATAAAACCACCACCTATGAAGTTAAACTGCTCAACTTGATGAAATTATAAACTGGATGCAATGATGTGATCTTATTACTTCCTGTGGAATTACACAATTCTAATTCTGCTGAAACACTTCCACATCAAAACAGAGCAACACATAAAAATCACTGATACACATTTTTTAAGGGAAAGAAACACAAAACACGCTTCTAGTGAAACAATGGCTTTATTGCTTGAGTACATAGACAAATTTATGCAACCAGGGCAGAAGCTGTGGATGACTCGCTGAAAAGGAAAAAGAGAGGAGGGGAGAAGACTGGATTAATACGGGTTCTCCATATTCATCCATAGAACTTCCAAGCTGATGAAGTTATTTCCAAACAGCTTAAATAAACCCCAATAGTATTAAATGTACCAAACTGCTTAGTTCCTGAATCAGTTTATTGTGCTCAAGCAAAATGAATTAAGATGCTCACTCAGACATCCAAGGAAGAACTGGCCAACATAAGGCAAAACCTTTCTGGTGGAAACTGCGAACGTTTGGAAACCAATCATCATAGTGAGCAACTGATGCAAAAATAAAGACAACGTAAACACCTGGGAACAGTGGTACCAACTGAAATCTCACCCACTATCTATCTAAAAGTGATTCAAAGGGCTAGTTCATGTTCTAAATCAGGGGTCTGTAAACCATGGCCCTTTGCTTGTCTTTGTAAATAGTTTCAATGGAACATAACCATGGCCCATTTGTCCATGTATTATCTATGGCTGTATTCTCACTATAATGACAATTAAAAGAGTAGCTGACCATATAGCTATAACCTAAAAAATTATTATCAGTCCTTCTACTATATTTACTATCTGGCTGACTCCTGTTTAGGTTAACAAGGTTGATACTTACTATTTCCAATTAGGAGGGAGGACTCGTTTGGTCTTGTAATATCGAGCCAACCGATGAATACGGCTCTCAATCAAAATCAGACGGAATTTAGCATCCTTATCCTAAAAATAAAAATAAAATTCAAGAAAACCACCCAAAACAACTAAACACTATCAAACATTGTTTTAACAAAGGAATGTATAGACACTATACACTTTAAAGAAAACAGTTACCCTGTAATAGAATCACAGGCCAGAGTTCATGAGGCTACATTAAGTCCTAAAGAGAATTTAATGTTTCCAGCAAGACTGAGCAGGCTTTGAAAACTCTGCAAATAAAAGACCTCAACATTTTCAACTAATTAAATACACTGTATCTAGAGGAGCCAAAGACCCCTCAACGCCCAAATCTTTTCTGGTAGAATTTTTATTTCAAAGCAACTTTAGTGCGACCAGTTTGTGCCCTAAGCCGCCTTAGATAATTCAAATCAGATGCATTATATTTTATTAAAATAAGTTAGTACAAGCAGTCCTAGTCTCTTACCTTTCTGTTCCTCTCAAGATGCTTTCGAACAGCAACAGCTTTCTTAATTAAATGGTAGAGATCCTCAGGAAGATCAGGAGCAAGTCCTTTGGACTTAAGAATTCTCAAGATTTTATTGCCTGTCACAAAACGTACTTGTGCAACACCATGTGAGTCTCTCAGGATCACACCTGACAAGGGATAATAAGTATAAATTCCCACACCAAACACACAAACTGGAGTATGTGATGTAAAAGTTCTGAGATCAAATCACTTTTCAAGTTTCCTATCTGTAAAATGGGGCTTCCTATTATATATCACATAAACCAACATGAGAATTCACACAAGCTCACTCAGACATCCAAGGAAGGTTTACCCAACACTAAGGAAAACCCTTCTGGTGGAAACTGCGAATGTTGGAAGACCATC